AATAAAATTTTTGAATACCAAGAAGTGTATCAATCCATATGGCTATACATATAATAACTGACTGTTTAATTAATGTATTAATAAATCACATTCATAGCGTTTATCTGCCATTATATATGTTCAGATTACTTCTCTTCAGAGCTTAAAAATCGGCAGTATATTAACAGCTTTCTCTCTACCAGTGGTTTCCATAGGCCTTTGCTTCTTAAGCTTTCTCAGTTCGTCATAAGTAAGAATAGTTGACTGATCCTTCGTAATTAACGAGGATTTCCATTACGTAGTCTCTATGTTCGCGTTCATCTGTCTCTTGTGATTTCTCACAACAGACTTCCAAATCTCTCTTTTAACTCCTCGTCCCTTTTGAGCTAAGTCCACTTTGCTGTTTGCAGCCTCTTGGGTACTATTCCGTCACTTCTGAAGTCTTCCTCTCATCGATCAGTCGTTCGTTATGGTCCACCGTAGTCTGTGGCGCGCTGCACACAGGGAACTGTCATTTTTCTTCGTTTTTGTTTTTTTCACTCCTGAGAATTTGTTTTAGTTACTGTCTACAATTCCTGGGCTTGTTGGACGAAACATTCTGTTGCCCGCCACCTCATTTACTAAATGAGGTTCCAGATGGCTCTGTAAGGCTTGGCCCGCAATAAGTTTTTCTCATTGAGATAAGGCAAGCCACTTCTTCTCTGGCAGTTTCTCTTCCGGACCAGGAAGTTGTACCTCATCTTGTTGAAGCGTGATAAATATTGCTGCATGGTCCAGTGTGCATTGTAAGTGTTCTGCATAAGCTGTCTGACAATTAATTCCGTAAAATCATTGATTACAAAACCACGTTGGTGCAGTGTTAAATGAAGTTCATTTTCGGATGAGCTGTGGACCTTTTGATTTGTTCCAGCGTAATGCAGACATATGATCATCATTAAACTTTTCTCAATCCACTGTTTGATAAAAGCATCTCAGCAGCTTCTCAGAGCAGTTCGCCTGGAGACCTTGAGAGGATAAGAATGTTGCCCGAAAATCACAGGTGGCTTAAATAGTGTCTGTCCATATTCGGTCCCTGCTTTTCTAAACAGAGTATCTTGAAAACCTTTAGCGTTGCTCTGAACAACGTTGATAATATTGCGTCCATCTGTTGGACCTCTTCTGTTGAATTTCTCAATTTTTTCTCAACTTTTTAATTCATCAACTTGCTTCTGCTTTCAGTAAGCTTACGCTTAGAGGTTGCGTTCTTGTAAGTCATGGTTACGTTAGGTTTCTGTATCTTTCCTCGATTCCTTGGATCTTCAAAGAATTAGCTACAGTATTTATGTAGACAGGGTGGAAAGCGTTCTCATGATCGATGAACGTTGGTCACAGAGGAAGCTGATATTCGTTGCTTAACTGAATTACCTGATGTACTGCATGCAAATGATCCATCGTCTACTTCTGAATCTTGCCGTCTTTCTTTGGTTTGCAGCGACCATTTTTCTTGAAGTCTGTTCGTCAGTATCATCGTAAAGATCATGTAGATGATTAGCAACAAAATAGTCAGCCTGAAGTTCTTAAGATATTTTTTAACTCTGTGTAAAGTTGAACCACCGATGCGTTAATCCAATCGTGTAGAATTTTCGGTTCCTTCGGACAGCGTGAAGACAAGTGCGCTTACATATTGATCAGTGCTTCACTTTCTTTTTTCCACTGTAATGCTGTCTTTGCCAAGCGCCCTTCCTGGTTTTGCCTGTTTTATTGTGTCGCATTTCCAGGTGCAAGATATCTGGAGTTTCGCCAATTTCATTTGCATTTTCAAGTTCCTTAAGGTCGTCAAGGGTGCCATCATCTTCGTCTTTGTAGATTTCTATAGAAATGTTTTGCTTTTTAGTATCTCTTTTCTGTGCCTGATAACAGTTCCGTCTTCTGCTTTGAGAACTAGAATTTATCGTTTCCCGTCAATTTTCGATTCAAAATTTTTTCATGTTATGGTTGTTTTTAATGGTTTCCTTTTCCAGTTTACAGTTGAATGCTCAGACGTCCTTTAACCGTTTTCTTAAAATTTTGCGAAGTTCTATGTATTCCATTTTTGATTTTTGATTTGCTGATGTCTTCATTTTTTACGATTTATTGCGTTTGCTTCGTTGTTTTTCGGTCAACCTTATATCATGGATGTTTTCCGCTGTTTCTGTAATTATCTTCGTTATATCTTCATACGGCATTGATATCCATCGTTTCGCTTCCTGTTTCGTGCATATCATGGAGAACAGATTCGGTTGGAATGGAGGGAGATTCTTGTTTAGTGATTCCATGTCGAGCATCTTCCTTCTCGTCCTCAGCGATTTTCTTCTTTCCAGAATGGAATCAAGGCGTAGTTTCTAGCTGACGAGCCAGTTCCTGCTTCCAGCTTGACACCGTTACCCCTCGCTCTGTGGTCTTCATGTA